GACACGTGGACAAAACATGCATCGCATGGTGTTAGTCGGCGGCCGACACTGTGTTCTTCCTGTTGAACGACAGCACATCACACGCAATAGGCGTGTCCGCAGGCAGCAATATATAGAAGCATGAGTTCATCGGTCTGCCGTTCTGGAAGAAGAGTGACAGATGAGTTTCACTTCGCGGCCGCTGATATCATATAGTGCAAAAATGCACCTCTTCTTTATCGGCCACGGTGAGAGCGACGTGTTATTAGACATGGTCCTGACGGACATTTCTCTACAGATGATGGATGATGGAAATTTCTCTACAGATGATGGAAATTTCTCTACAGATGATGGAAATTTCTCTACAGATGATGGAAATTTCTCTACAGATGATGGAAATTTCTCTACAGATGATGGAAATTTCTCTACAGATGATGGAACCTCCTCCAGGTCCTCTCTACAGTCTTCGATTTGAAGCTCGTCCTTAAAGCTTTCTTCGGCGTCAGCGCCGGCGTTGGAATTTTGAGCCGTTAAGGAACTTTCGTCACCGCGTTCATCATGTGTATACTCATTGTCATGTTCGCTGATTTGACAGAAGAATCCGCAGGCGTATCCGCACACCTCCCAGGGCTCAACGTTACTCGTGATGGTCTTCTGTCTCTACTTCTCGTGTTCGTCTATGATCTTCTGCAAATCGACCCAGAAGTATTTCTTGGTTGCTACGCCAACCAGAGTGCGTAGTTGCAATTTCAGACTTAGCACCTCATCGCGTAAACTGTGAAGTAAGCTCTCCGCTCCAAACGGACCATCTATTGATCCTCTTGAGGCTACGTCAGTCACATTGTGAGACTCTGCAGACTCCCACAGATGCTCCTTTATTTGCTCGAGCGTCCCCTCCCTTCCGCGGGAACACACGAAACGCATCTGTCGAAGCAAACTTGGCTTTATCTCGATGAGATCAGTAGTGACTTTTTTTTGCATTCGAGACAGAACGCCTTCAACCCTGCACCTTCTTCCTCTTTGTGAACAATTGCGCATCCAGTACAGAAGGCATGCCCGCATGCGCAGAGATTCACTCGTGGAGAAAACATGTTACAGACATCACAAGGACCCGACCGGGGCACAATGCAAAAGGTAGATCGCGCACGACCAATTGGTCCTTCATCTCAATGAGGTCTGCAATCACTCTCCGTTTGCACTTGTTGCACATAACACGGAGTTGACCGTGTTCTTCCTGTTGAACGACAGCACATCCCACGCAATAGGCGTGTCCGCAGGCAGCAATATATAGACACGTGGACAAAACATATTACATGCATCGCATGGTGTTAGTCGGCGGCCGACACTGTGTTCTTCCTGTTGAACGACAGCACATCCCACGCAATAGGCGTGTCCGCAGGCATCAATATATAGACACGTGGACAAAACATATTACATGATCGCATGGTGTTTGGCGGCCGACGCTGCCCACTTTTGGGTGGCTTTTTTCGGTTGAGGCAGGCATAGCGGCGCCAGGCAGGTGCTTGCTGGCCTGCAACTGGAACAAACGAACACTACGATCAGGCAGGAGTGTCATGTTTGTTGACACCAATGGCGACAATATGTCCCACATAATTATAATAATGACAACAAGTTAACTGTTAATTGTAGCCAATCATTCCCAAGCTGAAATAGATATCTTATTTGACTCGCTAACAAGTTGACTAACAAGAAAGGTTTATTTTATGACTTTTCAAAACAAAAATTTCAAAACAGATGTTGGCCAGCCTTTGCGGTTTGTGGATGGCCAGGTTTTTATAAGTGTGGTTAACGAAGAGCCGCAACACGTAATATGTAGTTTCAAATAAATTAACAAGGGTACGTGTATAAGTATAAGGTATAAGTAACCAATGGTAACTCGGAAGTAATCACAGTAGGTGATTTTTGTTAAAAGCAATACACACAAAGGGAGAGAAAAACCCTGTGTTTTGCCAGGCTTTCATACAGTGTTTAATCATGAATGCAGACAACACACGGCGGCACGCATCTCTCGAAAGCCTTTGTGAATATATCTTGAACGTATGAATTGTTTTGACTCTAACGCTTCTATTCCTACAAATTTGTTAACAAATTATTAGAAATGATCATTGTTCTGTTATCGTTTCAAAATATATAGGAAATGATTTAGAATATCCACCACAGTAAAGAAGCTTCACTACATTAACGTACAAAAACATCGCGGCACTGGCGTGCATCTCCAACAACAATACTTTCAATCTAACGACGATCGTGCATTTACGTTATTTAAAAAGAAACATCCTTCACAAGTATACACTTGCTGGGTAAACAGTTCCAAAAACCGTTGTTAGGCCAAAGCGAATAAACTCTTGTTAACTGTAGTAGGCTCAATGGTTACGGGAATTCGTAATGTGCCCCACGCAAGAAAATCACGATGAAGATCACCATGTCGCTGAGAAACTGTTGAGCGCAGTCTGAAGACCTATTGTCGTTTACGATTTCATACCTGAGACATAGGCCATACACCATGCGCCCGTGAAGAAGCTCGAAAGTTCCGGAAAGTTAAGTTGCTTTTTGCTTTGTGACAAGTTCACCTTACAGCATACAGGAAGCTGAAGTTAGTTGTCACCACGGTATGGATTTGAAAGGTGCAAATAAATGCCTTATTGATCTATGCATCTAATAGCTTTGCAATGCGAACCGAATGGTTTTTTTACCCTGTCGCAATAGTGCATGGGACCGAACTGGGCCTATCCCAAATGTTGACATCTTAAAGAATGCATAAGAATACCATTTGTTTCGTAACAAGAGAAGAGCATTACTTGCAAAGTTGATCACACCCCACTGAATCTGACGGAGATAGCCTCACACAGTGAAGATCCCTATCTTCGTTTAGTCGTGCGATGTTTAAATTTTTCAAAGCAACACTAAACATTAGCATCGGTTCCCATTTCTTAACAATATCAATATCGCACTTACGCTCTAATCTTGAAATCAGATTTGTGTGCGTCGCGGCAGGGACGCTTCGTTGTATCAAAACAGATGAATAAGACAACACTGTGTGTGTTAGATTCCGTGATTTCCCGAAACATATATAGCATTTTGACCGTAGTTTGGGATAATATTTCCTATAGTTCAAGTTTTGTCCAGATGCCAAGCTACAGCATTTTTCTGGTCAACCAGACTGAACGACTATTACATTTAGATAGCCTGAATTGAAATACTGTAGTGACTGTAAGGTTCAATCGCCAATTAATCAAAATCAAAAAATTAATCAAAAAAAAAAAAAAAAAAAAGCCTATTCACCCTGCTTCCTATTCTAATGTATAAGACAGGTGTGAGTTACCGCAATATATATACCACAGCACTGGTAGGCTGCCAATTTTTTAGGTTTTTGCCGGATGCAGGTGTTGAGAAATTTCATAGAATGGTTATCACTAGAAATGAGCAAAACGAATATCTTTACATTCACACAAATATTTCTATTAAGACGATAATACTAATAGTGCGCTTATAATAGTGAATAACATTATATATATATATATATATACATATGGTTTCGATTTTGTTTGTTTCGGTACTCTATAAAAAGAGCATCGTTAAGCTCGTTCTGAAGATGTCGACGTAACGAATCAAAGGTTGTCATTAAAGGATAGATTTTTTTTCGTATTTTAAACCTATTTAGGCATCGCAATATTGTCGAATGTGACCATATATAAATTTTTAAGTCGTCAACTTTTTACACATGTAGCACCAAACGACAACGCGGTAAGCTCAACATTAGTGATCGCAAATCGGGGTGTGTACTCCCTGTGAAATCAAGCCATAACAAAAGAAAATTTGCTGTACTGTTCGAGTATCATAGGAGGTATAATTTTATTGATCATTAGGATGGGGGTTATTGTTGCTGAGGGCCAATAGAACCCGTTGATGATAGTGAGGTCGGTGACATCCAGTGGCTCCTTGTGGCTTCGTATCCCTGCAACGCGATTCTGTCTACGATTCAGTTAGTTGAAATTCAGCCGTTGTCGATGGATGAACGTAAAAAGAACTTTCTGTTAGCATCGAATTGTTAAATTGTGAGGTCCTATCGGCTTCGAAGATCTGTGGTGTCGCTAGTTGTATGTTAACAATATAAGGGATGCTGGCGTAAGTGCGTATTTATTGATTGTTTATGATTAGTATTGTTTACTCGTATATAATATATTTATAAGTTGGAGAGGCTTGCTTTTGTGTTATTCGATGTTGCGAGCCCATAACGCTGTTCAAGCTTAGAAGGAATCAAAATACCTTAATGGTTGGTTGCTTTTGCCTTAATAAGTGAAACCGTAATACATAAAATCGCAACGCATTCAGATAATCACGAGCTGATTTTATCAAGTTCATGAAGTAATAATATGTTCACTTACCGTATCCACACCATATCGATATACTATTTCGGATATTGGCTAAAGGTAACGACAAACTAAATTTGGCAGATTTAATTAAAAATGAAACATCTTCCAATATATATATATATATATAATAGAATCATGTTTACTGTAGTTCGTTTTACCTATTGTCTCACCATGTAGGTTCAAATAGAGACAAACCTTATAAACTTCGCATTAGGCGAAGGCGTCTTGAGGAATCGTTTATTCACTTATTTATGCTGGACTGAAATTTTTTTTATTAGGATCTATGCAAGTAGTGGGGGCATTCCAGGTGCATACATTTAACCTGATGGTCTTAAGTCTTAGGACACTGATCTTAGGTCTAGGAAAAGACGCAGGAAGCGCCACAAAATGCCTGAACGACACTTAATGGAAATACTTCCTTTGTTCCATGGATAAACTTATATTTTCCCTTAACACCAAAAGTAGCTGAAGAGTAGTTGTATTCTGCAAAGCGGTGATCGATTGGAAGATCTTTTTTAAGTAGCTTTCTGGCTCAAAATATACTGATCTGGGGTCTGGACGGGGGGAGGGGGGGAGCCAATTCTTTTTTGACGTTTCAATTAATACCCAGTCCTTGATTATTTGAATAAGCTGCGTAACCGATGTGTTTCTTCCTAAAAAAATATGGTATTAGAAATATTCGTTTTATTATAAAACACCGAAGGTTGCCTCATTTATTTTTTATTTGTCTTTACTGACACGATTTCATTAGTGGATCCCATTTTTAGAAACAAAAAAAGGACAAAAAAGATTTTACAAAGCATGGACGAGTCGTATCCAAAATCATCTTTATGCTTGTTCTAAAGCAATGCGTTAATCAGCATTATAGTGTTTTATGAAGGGCGACTAATTGAATATTGATAATTTTACATCCACTATCACCGTTAGTCGCTTCAGATTTACCGGCGATTAACTAAGATTTATTTTGTTGGCAAATGCAATAGCATAAGGTATTTTGGGACACCCTGAACAATTGAAAGAAGGCATCTAGCTTTATTATTACGCGTCTATTTGATACTACCTGAAGTCAAACATGCGTCCTTCAGTGCTGAGCTGCTTCTGGAAAAAAAGCATCATAACGCGAATATTCAAACAGCCAGGTTTGAGAATATGAGAAGTTCAGCGTGCGAGATTACTAGTAGCGCGTTTAGTAAATGTAGGGATAGACAAGAACCGTTGCCGATGTCACAACGATGTTATGGAGAATTATCCCTGGGCTAACTCTCTGATCACAGCCTGAATAGCGACTGCTGATCCGTAACATAGCTGAGATAGTTTTATAGTTCATATTAAGTTTGTTTCAGTGGTCAAATATAAAGTAATGTGGGCAACTAACAAGATGCTGGGAATGGTCTTTAGCTTGCTTGATCTTCAAATAATTTCAAATAAGTACAGTTGCATTTAATGTCAAAGTCAGCACGCGCAGACTTAACTGCTTCTGTGGTCGAGTAAGTGATCAAGTAAGGTTTCATCTATGATGTCGTGCTACTACGCAAGAGCGCACTCATACATGCACACATCTACACACACTGTCTACGTGCATTTTCGTTTCCCCAAACCCCCCTGAATTTTTAAGACACGCCTCCAGCGGGCGGTAGTTGCATCGAAATCCTCTAGATGGCACCACGATGCTTTAGCTTAGGTAGCCTACTTACTATCATGGCTGATTGATGAGAAAAGGGAAATATTTCATACATACGCAATGCACATATCGATGATCGTTTACTTTGAGTGCAACAATATTTAACATGTGATTACTTGTAATCTTTACCATTTCGATATGGATGTCAATCGAACCCGAATTTGCGCTGAAAGCTCCCTGCCTTCCTTTCTCGGAATCTATAGAACATGATATCATAATTAGCCAATATGTGTAAATTAACTGTGTTTGAAGAATTAGTATGTTGACAAGTCTATTTTATTTGGTTTCCATTAAGTAGGTGTCAAGTAGTACACTGCCGTTCATGAACATTTTACAAGAGGCCGCAACTGACTTGCGAATTCGGTCCTCGGCTCCCTCTATTCCCAATATTTGTTCTATTCTCAGCTCAATATTTGTAGCTACTCATTCGAATTAAACAAAAAAAAGTCGATATTTCAAGTTTTACCTTATTTTCGGTTTACAATCAAAGTGTTAATTCAATGCACGGTCGTCAATTCAGTTTGGTAGCTCAAGCCTGAAACTGTTAATGCAGAAGGTTGCTTAAATTACAACAGTAATCTGTGTGACGACACTATGTACGTACTTTGAAATGAATTATCAGCCACTTTTGATCGATATATGCTCAAGGCGACTTTGTAACGTAGGTGTTTAATTTAAAATGTTTATTGTTATTTGTATTTACTTTTATATCAATATGGCTTGATAAATGTGTGCATAACCGGGATATATTGCGCAATGTATGTATCTGCGTGGTTTGCTCACGCCGACCAAATTACGACTTGGACACTCTCAGACGCGTGATTACACACCCTCGTGTTTCTGTTTATCTATCTTCTCACTTTCTTTCTGTGAGTGTGCGTGTGTTCAATTATGGTCAGCCGTAAATGGATATATTGGCTGCTGATAGAGGAGAGGTGGGTCTGCAACGCTTTGTTTGTAATCAAGCTTCTGGCTCTTTGTTTATATATCAGCCGATGCCACTCGTTTTTCTTACGCGCCATCTCTGCCGCTGTCATTGGTGTAGCAGTAGCAGCAGTGGGTCTACTAGCACGGACGACGCTGCTGAGCAGCGTGACTAGTACTTAGACATAGACGCGCTGCTGATCTGTGCTGCTTTTTAAGCTGACAGAAGATATAGTTTTTTTTGCGTCTCCGTCTTTCCATCTTTTCGCTTGACCCTCCGGCCATCTTTGCAATGTTCTTTTCTAGCTAGCTGGTCATTACGGGAGCACTCTAGCTACAGCTAGTGTTCGAACAACTTCTATATTTAAACAGCAAGTGCCACGAGCGGCGTTGTTACCGACGCCGTTTTGGCTAACGTTGCCCCCCCACCGTCACCGACACAATTACGATGTTGGGGCAGTACGCGAATAACACCGATGATTAAGAAAAACGGCAGTCAAGAACAAAAGCACGAAAAACGTCATCATCACTATCTCGAGCATAGGACAACGGCTGCGAACAACCGCAGTAGGCGACCGCTCAATTACTTGCTCGGACGACCGTTCGATAAATAGGTCATAGCCACAACTACTTGGTCAGCTCGGTCTCCTCTTCGACAGCACATATGATCTCCTCGCGTCATCCCTTACCCACGGCGATGACATTCAGCGGCGCTCCTACTCGACTTCCAATACAACTACCTCAGCCGTCGTCGCTGCTGCGGTCGGTACTGTTCTGCTCTCGATCGGACCCATCGGCAGCACAAGGCAGAAGCAGGCACCCGTTGCCCGCCGGCCTGGCTGACAGCTGTCTCAGCCGACTCGCCCGCCGTCCGCTGTTCGTGCGTTGTCCGTCTACCTAGGTAGCAGGTATCTTCGCTATTGCATAACAGCCCGCGACGCCGCTCTCCCTCTCCATTGTGGCACTCGCCTAGCAGCTACCCGCGCGCCCTTGAACGGCTGATCCCGGCTGCTGTACTTGGGTAGTCTCGTGGCGCGTCTGCGGCGGTGGTTCGCTGCTTGCTTGTGCTCAAGAAGCAGCA